CATAGCCACAGTCTCGGATAAAAGCTGCCTCTTGGTCTGTTTGTCCTTGCCTTTGTCGCCCTGTATCGTCTGCCAGGTGGCAATAGTAAGACATTGTGAGGAAGGCCTTCCTTCTCAGAGCTGGAGAAGGGAGAAAGGAGGCAGACAGTGGTCCAATGACACTCAAAACAACACCGGGTATATACATGAATACAGAATAGAGTAGAATAGAGTAGATTTATTGTCATTGAGCTATTGCACATTAAATTAAATTAAATAATTTCTTCAGAACACAATACAAAAACAACACAACCACTCCTCCAGACGCCCACCACCACTGCACAGCCCCCAATGTCCCATCAATGCAAAGCTATGGCATTCAACATAGCCACATCTATCTCTCGGTCTGTTTGTCCTTGCCTTTGTCGCCCTGTATCGTCTGCCAGGTGGCAACAATTCAAAGAAAAAGAATATGCCAAGTGGGAGGGATCCCCAGGAATGCTTTGAGCGTTCTTAAGACCTATAAAGTCCATCCAAAGAGGGGAGAAAGAGGGCAACCCATGCTTCTCTGCGCAGAAGGGGTGACCCTTTGGAGGGCCAAACCACGGTGCGGTTACCAAACCACGCACAGATGCAGGACGTTAGGACACTCTCTAGAGCAGTGGTTCTCAACCTGGGGGTCGCAACCCCCAGAGGGGTCATTGGGCCATTTTCGGGGGGTCTCAAAGCCACCTTGGTTGGGCCTGCCCCTTCCAAAATGGCACTCGACCCCCTGTGCCAGCCAAAGAGAACACTGTGATCCTGTAGAAATATTAATAATAATAATAATAATAATAATAAAAATAATAATAATTCGCTGTTGCATCAGACAGTCCTAGACACTTGTGTGATCCAATACAACAGCCAGCAGAGTGTCTGCTGTGGACACATCTTGTGGTTTTTCAAATAATAATAATAATAATAATAATAATAATAATAGTAATATATACTAGCCGTCCCCTGCCACACGTTGCTGTGGCCCAGTCTGTTGATCTGGAAAATAAAGTAACGAGAAAGTGTTGGTTTCTAATATATGTAGTTTCTTTATCCTTTTGAGTAAATAGTATTTCTTGCTGTTTCTTTGCCAGTGTTGATGTGGAGAGTGTCTGGTTGGCCTACTCTGGAACATGCAACATATCAATGTCCTTCTTTAGGGGTCTCTTTCAAATCTATGATACTATATCTCTCTGCCTGTGAGTCATATCTATCTATCTATCTATCTATCTATCTATCTATGGCTGGATGGCTCTTTGTCAGGAGGACTTTGATTACGTTTTCTTGCCCTGGTGAAGGGAGTTGGATTGGATGGCCTTAAGTATTTTCTGTTGGTCATGGGGGTTCTGTGTGGGAAGTTTGCCCTGATTCTGTCGTTTGTGGGGTTCAGAATGCTCTTTGATTGTAGGTGAACTGTGAATCCCAGTGACTACAACTCCCAAATGTCAAGGCCTATTTTCCCCAAACTCCATCTGTGTTCATATTTGGGCGTATTGAGTGCTTGTGCCAAGTTTGGTCCAGATCCATCATTGTTTGAATCCACAGTGCTCTCTGGATGGAGGTGAACTACAACTCCCAAACTCAAGGTCAATACCCACAAAACCCTTCCGGTATTTTCTGTTGGTCATGGGAGTTCTGTGTGCCAAGTTTGGTTCAATTCCTTCGTTGGTGGAGTTCAGAATGCTCTTTGCTTGTAGGTGAACTACAAATCCCAGCAACTACAACTCCCAAATGACAAAATCATAATTTTTTGAGTGATGGTCACTCCTTGTGTTGTGAGATGTTTTGTTGCCAAATTTGGTGTGATTCATTCATTATGCACAGAGCATTTATATATATATATATAGATAATAATAATGCATGACCGTAGGGTTCCTCTTGGCCACTGAGGCTGCTTTTGTGGCCTTTGAACCACTTTTTCTAGCACAGGGCTTCCGTAACCTTTTGAGCTTCGAATCCCTTTGGCCGCCTGGTGAAACGTTCTCAAAACAGTGAGCTTTCTCTTGCGATTTCTAGGATTTCTGGGACTATTCTTTTGCTTGTGTTACAGTCCAAAATACAAGCAGGGGAGGTGGATAGGGATCCCTCGCCCAAAGGAATGAAGGGAGAGTCTCTCTCCAACGTCTCCCACTCCCCATTCCTTCTGAGCGGAGGAACGGTGGACGGAGTATCTCCAAAGAGGGACAATTGTATCCACATCTTCAGCCGGCGTCGCTTGGGAGACACTGTTCCTTTTGTCCAGAGAACAACAGGGCCGTGTTGTGCCCATCCTTCCCTTGGCCGGCCGGCCGGGGGATGCGCCCATCCAGGCGCAACGTGAAAGCATCGGGGGAGATTCTTGGTCCCATCAAGTGAAGTTCTGGAGATAAGAGAGAGTAGCTTGAACAAGGCGGCTTTGACCGCCCTTCTCTTCCATGCCTTCTCGTTGTTTTGTGTGCGCAAAAGGGATAAGATTGTTTGAATCTTGGACTACAACTCTGATGTGGCATTGGGGGCTGTGTGGTGGTGCTGGGAGTGTGGAGGGTGGGTGTGTTGTTTTTGTGGTGTGTGCTGGGGAAGGCATTTCATTTCGTTGTACAATGTGGAATGACGGTAAAGTTATTCTATTCCGTTAGACTGGATTTGGTGTCTTTAGGGCAGGCATCGGCTTCCCTCCAGGTGTTTTGGACTTCAACTCCCACCATTCCTAATAGCCCCAGGTCCCTTCCTTTTCCTTTTGCCTTTCCTTTTCCACTTAAGCAGTTGAGGGGGAAACAGAAAAGGGCTGAGGCTGTTAGGAACTGTGGGAGTTGCAATCCACAACACCTGGAGGGCACAAGTTTGCCCACGCCTGCTTTAGTAGGTGTGTGACCACATGTCCATTAGAGTTGTATTTTCCACCCGTCTTACATAATAGGGACTTGCAGGCCAAAACACCTGGAGGGCCCAAGTTTGCCCACGCCTGCTTTAGTAGGTGTGTGACCACATATCCATTAGAATGGTATTTTCCACCATTATTACACAATAGGGAGTTGCAGTCCACAACACAAGGAGGGCTCAAGTTTGCCCATGCCTGCTTTAGTAGGTGTGTGACCACATGTCCATTAGAGTTGTATTTTCCACCCGTCTTACATAATAGGGAGTTGCAGTCCACAACACAAGGAGGGCTCAGGTTTGCCCAGGCCTGCTTTAGTAGGTGTGTGACCACATGTCCATTAGAGTAGTATTTTCAACCGTTGAGGGGTGGGGCAATGGGGGGAGAGGAAGGGGACGAAGGGTCCTTGCTAGTAAAAAAAAAAGGAGAGGGGAATAAAAGGTGGGCCAAGAGAAGAGATAGCCAGATTTAAGGGGGGGGGTTAAAAAAAGTTTCTAGTGTAGGGGAGAAAGGCAAAGAAAAATGGAGAAAGGAGAGGAAAAGAAAAAAAAAAAAAAAAAAAGTAAAAAAAAAAGAAAAAAAAAAAAAAAAAAAAAAAAAGAAGAAAAAAAAAAAAAAAAAAAAAAGAAAAAAAAGAAAAAAAAAAAAAAAAAAAAAAAGAAAAAAAAGAAGAAAAAAGAAAAAGAAAAAAAAGAAAGAAAGAAAGAAAGAGAAAAGGAAGAAGAAAAAGAAAAAAAAAAAAAAAAAAAGGGAAGGAAAAAAAAAAAAGAGAAAGAAGGAAGAGAAAGAAAAAAAAAAGGAAGGAAGAAAGAAGGAAAAAAGGAGAGGAAAGAAAGGAATGGAAGGAAGGGAAAAAAGAGAGAAAGAAAAGAAAGGAAGGAGGAAATAAATAAAAGAACAAGACAGGGTAAATTTGATATTCAAAAGGGGTAAAGAAAATACAACCCATAATGATGCCTGTGTGACCACATGTCCATTAGAGTTGTATTTTCCACCCGTCTTACATAATAGGGACTTGCAGTCCAAAACACCTGGAGGGCCAAGTTTGCCCACGCCTGCTTTAGTAGGTGTGTGACCACATGTCCATTAGAGTTGTATTTTCCACCCGTCTTACATAATAGGGACTTGCAGTCCACAACACAAGGAGGGCTCAAGTTTGCCCATGCCTGCTTTAGTAGGTGTGTGACCACATATCCATTAGAATGGTATTTTCCACCATTATTACACAATAGGGAGTTGCAGTCCACAACACAAGGAGGGCTCAAGTTTGCCCACGCCTGCTTTAGTAGGTGTGTGACCACATGTCCATTAGAGTTGTATTTTCCACCCGTCTTACATAATAGGGACTTGCAGTCCACAACACAAGGAGGGCTCAAGTTTGCCCACGCCTGCTTTAGTAGGTGTGTGACCACATGTCCATTAGAGTTGTATTTTCCACCCGTCTTACATAATAGGGACTTGCAGTCCAAAACACCTGGAGGGCCCAAGTTTGCCCACGCCTGCTTTAGTAGGTGTGTGACCACATGTCCATTAGAGTTGTATTTTCCACCCGTCTTACATAATAGGGACTTGCAGTCCACAACACAAGGAGGGCTCAAGTTTGCCCACGCCTGCTTTAGTAGGTGTGTGACCACATGTCCATTAGAGTTGTATTTTCCACCCGTCTTACATAATAGGGACTTGCAGTCCAAAACACCTGGAGGGCCCAAGTTTGCCCACGCCTGCTTTAGTAGGTGTGTGACCACATGTCCATTAGAGTTGTATTTTCCACCAGTATTACACAATAGGGAGTTGACGTCCACAACACCTGAGGGCCCAAGTTTGCCCAGGTCTGCTATACACCATTTTTAATGACACCTGCCCTAATCCCCAGCCAGCAGACATCTCCACTACATAGTTCATGTTCTGCCTCACCTTCCAGCCTCATTCCCACCTTTGCCCATGCCTTCTTTAGGGTATATATCCCACATAAATGGTCTCCAAATCCCAGTTGTTCCAGGAAAGCCAGTGCTCCTATGACTCCATAGAAGAGGAGTGTTGGCCCAGAAAAATAGAAGTATGGGGTTAGATGAGACCTCAGGAAAAGGTGCCTCACCTGCTCTTCTTTTTGTCTCTCTCTCTCTCCTCTGTCCAGGTGGGAGATCAGATGAAGTTACTGCAAAACTGCTGGAGCGAGCTGCTCGTTTTTGACCATATTTTCCGCCAAGTGCAGTACGGAAAGGAGCACAGCATGATGCTGGTGACCGGCCAGGAGGTACAAGCTGGGTGCCACATGGCGGGAATGGAGGGATAGGACATCAGTCAGTCAGTTGAAGTCCAAAACACCTGGAGGAAGGGCCATTCCTGATGTAGACCCATTGAGTCAGTGGCCTTTCCATGGGTGTAGGCCACAACAGCTCGATTCAGGCTTTCCTTTAGTTGAGAACTTCTCAACCAGATCCCAACCAGCATAATATGATGCCAACGTGCAAGGGTTTTGTCTGGATGGATCTTGACGTCCTTCCCTTGCGTTGAAGGTCTTCCTTGGGTGGAGGTGGCACTTTGGGGGTCCTGAGCCTTGCTTCCTTCCTTCCTTCCTCTTCCTCTCCAGGTGGACCTGTCCACGGTGGCCACGCAGGCTGGCTCGATCCTCAACAACCTGGTCTTGAGAGCTCAGGAGCTGGTGCTCCACTTGCATTCGCTCCAGGTGGACAAGCAGGAGTTTGTGTGCCTGAAGTTCCTTATTCTCTTCAGTCTCGGTAAGATGGTGTTGCAGAGAGGGAGGGAGGGAAGGATGGATGGTGTGAGGCAAATTAGAACAACTTTATTGTCATTGTACATTGTACAATGAAATTCCATGCCTTCCCCAGCACACACCACAAAACAACACACCCATCCCTTCAAATTCCCACCTCCACCCAACGCCACATCAATGTGAAGCCACGGAGTTCCACATCACCTCAGCTCTAGGATAAAAGCTCAATCTCAGTCTGTTTGTCCTTGTCTTTGTCACCCTGTGCCATCTGCCAGGCGGGAATAACAAGGCATTGTAAGGAAGGACTTCGTCCTCAGAGCTGGAGAAGGGAGAAAGTAGGCAGGTGGTGGTCCCAATGACACTCAAGCAACACCGGTTATATACACAAATACATAAAATAGAATATAATATGTTTTATTGTCATTGTGCACAACAAAAGTACATACCTTCCCCAGGACATGTTGCAAAACAACACACTCATCCCTCCACACACACCCTACCACCACACAGCCGACAATGCCACATCAGTGCAAAGCCATGGAGTTCGACCTCGCCACAACTCTAGATAAAAGTTGCCTCTCAGTCTGTTTGTCCTTGTCTTTGTCACCCTGTACCGCCTGCCAGGTGGCAATACTAAGACATTGTAAGGAGGGCCTTCCTTCTCAGAGCGGGAGAAGGGAGAAAGGAGGCAGGTGGTGGTCCCAATGACACTCAAGTAACACTGAGTATATACACAAATACATAGAATAGAATCCTAGAGTTGGAATCCAGTCCAACCCCATTCTGCCAAGAAGCAGGAAAATTGCATCCAAAGCTCCTCCGACAGATGCCCATCCAGCCTCTGTTTAAAAGCTTCCAAAGAAGGAGCCTCCACCACAATCAGGGGCAGAGAGTTCCACTGCTGAACAGCTCTCACCACAGACAGGAAGTTCTTTCTCATGTTCAGATGGAATCTCCTTTCTTGTAGTTTGAAACCATGGCTCCATTGCGTCCTATTCTCCAGGGAAACAGGAAGGAAGCTTTCTCCCTTCTCCCTATGACTTCCTCTCCCGTATTTATACATGGCCCTCATCATGTCTTCTCTCAGCCTTCTCTTCTTCGAGCTAAACATGGCCAGCTCTTTAAGCCGCTCCTCATAGGGCTCGTTCTCCAGACACTTGATCATTTTAGACTAGACTACAAAAGGTTTTATTGTCATTGTGCACAACAAAACTACACGCCTTTCCCAGCACACGTTGCAAAACAACACACCCATCCCGCCACACTCCCACCACCACCACACAGCCCCCAATGCCACATCAGTCAAAGCCATGGAGTTCAACATTGCCACAGCTCTAGGATAAAAGCTTGTCTCTCAGTCTGTTTGTCACCCTGTATCGTCTGCCAGGTGGCAATAGTTCAAGAATATGTTGGGTAAGATGGATCCACAAAATGTTCTGAGCGTTCTTCAGACAGTGGGAATTATAAAGTCCTTCCAAAGAGGGGAGAAAGAGGTGAACCTTTGGAGCACCTTCCTGTCTGCCACTGTCCAGCTACCAACCATGTGCAGATGCAGTAGGTGAGGACACTCTCCACAGTGGTAGAAAGTCTCCAGAAGTTTTCCATTCAGATGTTGGTTCCTTAGGAGTCTCAGAAAGTCCACTCTCTGCTGGGCCCTCTCCACCAAGGCTGTCCCAGGTCAGATCCTCCTTCTCATTGATGTCCAGGAATTGAAACTGTTCTCCTGCTCCACTTGGTCTCCATTTATGACCAAAGGATGGATTCCTGGTCAGTTCTTCCTATCGTCCACTATGACCTCCTTGGTCTTATTGTTGTTAAGGACCAGGTTATTGTCCCTGCACCACAAGAGCAGGCACTCCACCGCATCCCGATAGGCCAGTAGTTCTCAACCTGGGGTCCCCAAATGCTTATGGCCTACAACTCCCAGAAATCCCAGCTAGTTTACCAGCTATTAGGATTCTGGGAGTTGAAGGCCAAAAACATCTGGGGACCCCAAGTTGAGAACCACTGCAATTGGCAGACTCCTCCCCTTCAGAGATAAGAAGTCCCACCACAGTTGTATCATCTTGTTATGGTGGACGGGGGAGCAAGCATATGTGTCCAAAGTGAAAAGCAGAGGACTCAATGCGCACCCTTTGGTGTCCCAGTGTTGAGAGTGAGCTGAGCTGAAGAGGTATGACCACCTAATCCTGCCCTCTGGGAACGTCCAGAGAAGAAGTCCATAGTCCAGGAACAGAGTGAATATGACAATCCTAAGATCCATGAGTTTGGACACCAGCCTATGTGGGAGGATTGTGTTGAACATGGAATGATGAGGTGAGAAGGTCGTGATGGACAACTCCTCTGCTTCTGCTACTGTCAAGGGAAATCTTTCATGCTCCGTACGGTTATAACTGGATCCAATTCCTTTCAGTCTCCAAATTCCCTTCTGATCTGCCTATCATTGGCACAAAAGGCCCTCTTCTTCTTCTTAGGTGATCCCTCATTGGCCAAGTGGGATAGTCTTCCAGGATCAGAATTCTAGTGGGTCCTTAGGTGGCTATTGAGCCCTCTTCTTGATCTGCATCTTCTCCCGCAGTGAGGGCATTGGTTTCCAGGTGGAAGGCAGTCCCGGTCAGGCTTGGCTTGATGCACCTTCCTCTTGGCACGTTTCTCTCTTTCACCCTCCATTCATGCCTCTTCAAATTCTGCAGCACTGCTGGTCACAGCTGACCTCCAGCTGGAGTGCTCAAGGGCCAGGGCTTCCCAGTTCTCCGTGTCTATGCCAGAGTTTTTGAGGTTGGCTTTGAGCCCATCTTTCAATCTCTTTTCCTGACCAGCAACATTCCGTTTTCCGTTCTTGAGTTCGGAGTAGAGCAACTGCTTTGGGAGACAGTGGTCGGGCATCCGGACAACGTGATGATGGTGGAGGACCATCACTTCAATGCTGGTGGTCTTTGCTTCTTCCAGCACGCCGATGTTTGTCCGCTTGTCTTCCCAAGAGAATTGCAGGATTTTCTGGAGGCAGCGCAACATTGGTGGGAGGCATAGGTGGGTGTCCACATATGCCTCCCACCAATCCTAAACATCACCCCTCACTTCACCAAGCTGTATCCTCAGTTTATATTTCTCCCAGGCAGTCTCCCTGACCATGACATTTTCCTTCAGCCTCCAAATGTCTCATTTTGCAGTAACTTCAAACTCCAATTGAGCCTTTAGAAATATGGAAAGAGGTAGTCCAAGTGGCCAAGGGAATGCAAACAAACACCATTGCGTGATATATCAAGGCAACTCCTTCAAACACAAAGGGCCAAGATACCTCCTTTCGCAGGAGTGGAAATGTTTGTCAAAAGTAGGGCTGGCAAGTGTCCCTTATTATCAGAGATGCCCCTTATTATGCTAGGGATGGGAAGTTACCCCAAAAAAACCTGAATTTTTGCATGTGGGCTGTTCCTAAAGAAGGAAATGTATGCATCATGTCATTTATGAACATGGTTTAGGTCAACTGGAGCCAATATTTTCATTTGGTATTCAGGTAGGATACAAGCTTGTGAACAGCGACTTCCTGAGTGTTGTTTATTTTGACACTCCTGGCAGTGCTACTAGGATGGCTTAAGAACGAGGACACTAAATATGGGGTGGGACAGCCTTTGCCAATCTGTATTTGTGTCAGAGGCATTGGGGTGCTGCTTCCACGTTACTGCCAGCCTTTGACCCAGAGATCTTTGTGTGCCAACTTGTCTCCTAGACAAAATAACAACAATCTCCGCTTGCAAGGGAGGGCGGCTGAGCTGGCCACTGTCTCTGTCTTGACTTATCTTGCAGGAGCTCACAGCTGCGTCTGGAGCTTTCCGCCTTCTACCCCATTTTGTGCTTAACCATGGACTTTCTCTTATTATGGCCCTATGGATGGGAGATCTCTAGGTTTCACCATCACCTTGCTCGAGTTTTTCACATGCAGGGCAGCCATTGTGGAGTCTATCTATTTATAATGCAACACCACTCTCTTCCAACTGCCTTATACCTTGCCAAGCAATCATTGTCTTTTCTCCATTTCTGTATCTTCTCTTGATATGGCGAAAGCACAACTGCAGCACCTCTCCTCTAGAGTAGCAGCTTTAAAGCCTCCTTTAAATGCCTTGGAAACAATGTATGCCGCGGTGCAGGTCTTGGAGAGAAAGGGTGCACGTCTACCTGCCACACCTCTCCTCTAGAGTAGCAGCTTTAAAGCCTCCTTAAAGTACATGCAGCTGCCTGCAGCACATCTCCTTTAGATAGCTTTAAGACACCTCCTTTAAATGCCTTGGAAAGAGTGTGTGGTCTGATGCAGGCCCAAGAGAGAGAAGCATGCGTACTTGCCTGTAGCACCTCTCCTCTAGAGTAGCAGCTTTAAAGCCTTCTTTAAATGCCTTGGAAATAATGTATGGTGTGGTTCAGTTCTTGGAGACAAAGGTGCACACCTACCTGCAGCACCTCTCCTCTAGAGTAGCAGCTTTAAAGCCTCCGTAAAGCATGCACACCTGCCTGCAGCACCTCTCCTTTAGAGTAGATAACATTAAGACACCTCCTTTAAATGCCTTGGAAAGAGTGTGTGGCATGGTGAAGGCCCGAGAGAGAAAGCGTGTGTGCCTGCTTGCAGCACCTCTCCTCTCGAGTAGCAGCTTTAAAGCCTGCTTAAAGCACATGCACCTACCTGCAACACCTCTCCTTTAGAGTAGATAGCATTAAGAAGCCTCCTTTAAATTCCTTGGAAAGAGTGTGTGGTGTGGTGCAGGCTCTGGAGAGAAAGCATGTGTGCCTGTTACAGCACCTCTCCCCTAGAGCAGCAGCTTTAAAGCTGCTTTAAATGCCTTGGAATGAATGTATGGCATGGTGCAGGTCTTGGAGAGAAAGGGTGCACATCTGCTTGCAACACCTCTCCTCTAGAGTAGCAGCTTTAAAGCCTCCGTAAAGCATGCACACCTGCCTGCAGCACTTCTCCTTTAGAGTAGATAACATTAAGAAGCCTCCTTTAAATGTCTTGGA